TCACTTGTTCTGATGATGTGTTGGTGTGTGTTATCTAGTCAGTCTTGGGAGGCTACTCCTTTTATGGGTTTTAGGTGAGAATTTTATCAATTTGTGGAGAAACTGATAAGCTCACAGGCCTGCCTGGTTTTTCAGATAGGAGTTTGACTGCTCCAGTGTTCTTATGCTTCTGATTTAACTTGGTAAGTTCACAGGGGGTCATTTTTATTCGCATGATTACTTTATCTGTTTGTGCCTTATGATTGTACTATGTAGCTTAAGGAGGTTCTTTTTGATGAGTTCTATATCCAGCATCTCGTGGTATCTCTTTGCCCAGACAAATTACCACGTCATTCTGCCTTAGCACTTACACTTGCTATAGAACAGCTCAGGTCTAGGCACAGCCTGAAAGCTGCTGTTCTACATGTTATGGAAGGATTCAGCAAGGCCCAGCCTGCTCTCCACATAATGCGGTAATTCAGTCTGTAATGGGGTGGGGGGAAGGAGAGTGTTCCGGGTTGAGGAGATACTACAGGAGAGCATGTGGAGGTAGGAGAATGGGAAGGGATTGAAAGCAGGGAACATGGGGAGCACAAGTATGTGGGCAGCAAGCAAGGCCCTCGCCCAGGAGCTCTCTTTAGGGTAGGAAATTCCAAGTCCTCCATTAATTTTTATTTCAAACCTTTGATATAGTGTAAAATAGCTGTAGATTAAGTGTAGCTCTTGAGCAAAATCATTTGTTTTGAGTCTCATTTTCCTCAATGTAAATATAGGAGTGTAACTCCTAACTTCCCTGTGTGTTCTCATATATCTCATATATCTCAAATATCTTAGAAGCCAAAAAACAATGTATAATATTGAAGTTTAAAAAAATCTGTTCCAAAGCAACTGATTTTACTGCAGGAACTTGATTTTCTTTCTGTGGATGACCATCACATCACACATACACACAAACACCCCCTCCCCCCCCCCACACATTGCTGGATCCTCTCCTGTACAGCACCCCTGACTACAGTATTATTCTCTTTTTGTGTGTGGTACTAGGGCTTGAACCCAGGGGTTCTCTATCACTCTACCTCTGATGACATCCCCAAGCCCCCCCCCTTTTTTTTTACTCTGAAAAAATATTTTATTTATATATGAATTCATTACTTTGCATACTTCCTTCAGAACATTTATTAAAAACACATCATTCATACATTGTGTGGAAAATCCACCATAAAATTTTGTGTATCTACAAAATGTATAGGAAAAAAAAAGCCTTTATTTGACATTTTTAAACTAGTTCCAATCTTTTTTAAAAAATCACTCTCTATTTAAATTAACCAGGATTTCTTAAAAAGAACATCTTATCTTTCAGATAGGTAGTTTAAATTATGCTTAGCATGTTCTAACCTCTTTTTTTTTTTCTTTTACTTTGAGAAAGGGCCTCACTAAATTGCTGAGGCTAGCCTAGAATTTGCAATCCTCCTGCCTCAGCTTCCTGAGTTACTGAGATTATAGATGTGACACCAGCATCTGGTTTGTAACCTTTTCTAAGAGCTAGCAGGATTCAAAATAGAAATCAGGCTGCTCTCTGGGTTAAAGAAAATGCTTCTTTTTGAAAAGTGCTCATCTGTTATTCCTAGCTGTTTCATTTTCTCCTTCTTAACTGCTCAAGCCACGTGCTGCTCCGCATCTCAAACAGACTAATAGAATTTTATCAGCTTGGTGAGCTCACTTCAGACAACCCCATGTTGTGTCTTCCTGTGGAGGAACTTCTGGCTGACCCAGAAAGAAGTGTCAGTTTCCCTGCAGTTTGCCTCTTTTTTATTATTACAACAAAGTTGTAAGATGAAGCCGATGAAATTTAAAAAAAAAAATCTTCTTACTGTTTTTTATACATTAGTATTTTAATCTCGAAGTCAGTGTGGTCGTGAAGTAATGTGCTTTGCATGTGAAAATTTTTAATCTCTCATTCATTCTGCTGAAGTATTTCAAAAAGCTAGTAGAGAAGAATTCAAAGTCAATCAAAATGTGCACAGGGTATCAGACTTGTTGAAAATGACCCACCCACTCGATTAGCCATTGGCATCCTTATTGTCTCTGTATGTTTGTGGCTTTTGCTTTATTTAATTGGAAATCTGATCTGGCCATTAAAAATTTTATTCATAATCATTTGATTAAACTATAAAATAAAATACTCTTCGTGGCAGCCCAGAATTTATGTTTTTTAGGATAGAAAGGCAAATTAAACAAAGGAACAAATAATGGTCCCTGAGAGTATAAGCAGACCCAATCACCAAGTTCCTTTCCTGGTGCCGAGACTTAAAATGTAAATACTGTCTATCGAACCCAGAGCTCCACACATGCCAGGCAAGCACTGTACTACTGAGCTACATCCCTAGCCCCTTTTGCTTTATTTTGAGGCTGGGTCTGGCTCAGTTGTCTCGGCTGGCCTTGAATTTACAATCCTTCTGTCCCAGCCTCCTAAGTTGCTGGGATCACAGATGTGTGCCGCTGCATCCAGCTATAGAAATCTTTACACAGAAAGACTATTTTTGTAAGTGATCCTTGAAGGAGGAAGGTGACTAAGATGTAATCCTCACCAGTAGTACTTAGAGTACTTCTAAGACTTGAGAGGACCAGTCTTAAATTTAAGAATATAAAATGTTAGTACACATGAACACATATTTCTTTTGCCATTGAAAAATTGTAGCCCATCATTTACCTGCTTGCTAAGAATAAAAACATTGCTTTAAGGCTCATGGAGACATTTTTTTCCAGAGCGGGTATGTGTAGAATTCTTCCCTGTTTTCTATCTGTGCTCTCTATACTACCACCTAGTGGAATAAATGAAGTTTACTTGTCAATTAAAATTGGAAGGAAATACCAGGGAAGAAAGTGAACAAGGTTCTGGGATGGAACCCGGGGCTAAGTGTATCCTGGATACATGCCCTACTACCTATACCCTTAATGAAGTGAAATTTATCACAGGAAAAAGATCCCATGATGATGTGTTATTGTTACTTCTTTAAATATAATACAGGTCATGTGAAATACGGGAGTTCCCAGTAAAAAAACGTCCAGGCATTCATGTGATAATCAATAAAACGCTTTTAGCTCTTACACAAATAAGCTATTTTATTCAGAAACTAGAAGGTAGGTAAGCCTTGTAGACTTTCTGGTATATTGTATCTCTAAATTATTGAGACGTTTCTCTTTTCATGGTAAAAAAAAAAAATATTTAAAACATTAAGGTCCAAAGCAACCATGAAAGGGAGATATTGGCATTTTCTTTAATAGGTAAATAAAAGTACAGAAATAAGATAATCAGGTTTTATCTAAGCCGGAAGAAACACAGGTATGTATACCATGCTGACATTTTCCCTTCCAAACAATGAAACCAAAAAAAAGGCAAACAAAGTGCTCAGGCTCCTCATTCTTTCTTGGTGGAAGGCTCTTATTTTCTTTTTTTTTTTTTTCTCCTTCTTTGTTTTTTTTTGGGGGGGTGGGGGGTACTGGGGATTGAACTCGGGTACTTAGCCACTGAGCCACATCTCCTGCCTTATTTCGTATTTTATTTAGAGACAGGGTCTCACTGAGTTGCTTCATGCTTTGCTTTTGCTGAGGCTGGCTTTGAACTTGTGGTCCTCCTGCCTCAGCCTCCCGAGCCGCTGGGATTACAGGAGTGCGCCACCGTGCCTGTCCTCTTATTCTCATCTAAAGCCCCCATGGAAGAACAAACACAAACCAGCATGGAAGCAGAACCTCTTGCTGCTTGCTAATTTCTCTAACTCGCTCATCCATCACTCACATGGGTTTGTTCTGTGGCCTCCCGAGCTCTGCTTAGTCCCTGTGTTCCTGTATGGTGCTGGCAATGGCAGCTTCCTGTTTCCTAAGGGGACACACTTTTCAGATGGCCTCAGTAGGCACATACACACTTCTTGTTATGCTCACAAATATTTTACCGATGATTCTTGATGTCAAAGTAGTGGACTCGGGACTGGGAGGCAGGGAGTAGGAGGGGAACGTATAAGGGAAAGTCAGGTAACTACCCCCCCACCCCCCTGCCCACCCAAACTCCACTTGGCCAGTTGCAGACAACATTATAGAAACACAATAGCAGCTGGACATAAGTTTCCTCTTCTCTTCTCTCACTCTACATGATATTTCCCACCCCGCTGCTTAGTTCAGGCAGATGTGGCTCCAGTACTGACTTGGTTTGTGATTTCTGGTGGCCTTAGATTATATAGAAGAGCCCAGTGACTCTTTATGTAGCCCTCAAAACTTCTAGTCTCTCAGTTTTCTTCCTTAATAATTCACTGACCCTAATGCCACATAGCTGCTTTTGTGTTGGAGGGATTGGCATGATTGTGCATTGCTGACTTTTGATTCCTGGTAGTTGTGATAACGGCTGTCTTGTCTCCTATCTGTGTTATTTATGATACAAGCTCCTGAATCATTCCCCCTGCCCTTTTGATGGTGTTTATCGTGCTTGGTCTCTTTGCCTTTGGAAAAACCACACTCTTGCTCTTTGTTAAGTGACACACAGGCAGATGTGGGCATGGCATCCTTTCAGACAGTCACCTCCTGGAGGCGCTGATCTGTCTTGGAGTGTTGACTAGGCTGGGAATTAGAAGGGCAAGTTAAGAGGAGCAGGATAGTGTATTTCCTCTCCCAATACTAGAGACTGAGGTTTTCCCTCTGTCAATTTCCTGTCAATGCAACCTTGTCCTATCAGCAATAATAATTGATATATTTACATTTTCTCTAAAATTGTAACTCAGAAAGCAAAGCCAAAATTTACATATATGTGCATAAGTATATGCATGTATGCACACATTATTATAATAAAGACAATAATAAAAAGAAAGAAAAAAGAAAACAAAGCCAAGGAGTGTTTCCTTCTTAAAAGACCTTAAAAGGCTTTGTGTCACTTGACTTTAATTGGCTGGGAGATAGTTGCAGATCAGCTCTAGAGTTTAAGACTAGTGTCTACATCGTAAATTACAGACGTGTGTACTTTTACTTTATTGCAGCCTTCTCTTGGAGTCAAGAAGCCTACCAAAGCCCTGCTCTTTGTAATCTTAAGCCCAGTGGGACCTTATTTTTCAAGCGGAACCTTTAATCCAGTATCCCTGTGGGCCAACCCGAAGTATGTCAGAGCCTGGAAAGGTGGGACTGGAGACTGCAAGATGGGAGGGTAAGTCAGCCTCTCTCTCTGAAGGAGACAGTCCTTCCCAATCCTGCAGTAATTAATGTTTGGCTTCAATGTGAATCATATAATAATATGCAAATGTAAATGCTCATTTTTTTTGTTTCCTGTTTAGGTTTAAGTGTTTTAAAGGAGGTAGTTGTTTAAAGAATAACCCATGGCCCTTCATGAGAGAGAAAGGTGGACATGACATATAGGCAAGAACTACAGCAAAGAAACCAGGAATCAGTTCAGCTGTCTGTACTTGAGCTTGTCTGCTTCGCTGAAGTGCTTTCATGCTGCCAGAGATTGTAGCCACACCTGCTGCGAACTGGCTGAGGGGAGCCCGCTTCAGCTCTCTCTGGCTGGTCTCAGGCCATATGTAGCTGGCAGGAAATAAAAGAGCATTCAAAAGTGTTGGACAGTTTCAGGGGTGGACTTGGCCTTGATTTGGGAATGCCCCTATAGGTGGATAAGAATGGCTGGATTAAGCAGGCTGGGCTCTTCCTGGTCTGTCTCCAATAGTGATGTGCATCATCTGGTCCCTGATAAAACACGTACATTCAGGAAGGCCACGGAGTTGAATGACACACTGCTGATGTTTTAGACAGTGCCCTTTCCATTCCTTCCTTTTCCCCTTCTCTTCCCCTCCCCCTGTGTTAGCCAGCATTTCATTGCTGTTACAAATACCTGAGGAAGACAACAGAGAGGAAGAAAGATTTTATTTTGGCTCATGGTTTCAGAGGTCCCAGTCCTGATTGACTGGCTCCATTGCTTTGAGCCTGAGGTGAGGTAGAACATCATGGCGGAAGGGCATGACAATGGAAAGCTGCTCAGTTCATGGAAGCTGGAAAGTATAGAGGAAGAGAGGAGGGAGCCAGGGATAAGGTATGGTCTTCAAGGGCATGCCTCCAAGAACCCACTCCTTTGATCATGTCCCACCTCCTACAGTCTCCAATGTCTCCCAACAGTGCCATCAAGTCATTAATCTAATGAAATCAGAGCTCTCGTGATCCATTTACTTCCCCAAAGCTGTACCTCTGAACACTGCTGTACGGGGGACCAAGCCTTCAACACATGAGCCTTTGGGGGACATTTCATATCCAAACTAAAACACCCTCCCAGGATCAGTTACAGCATACGCATTCAAAAATGCACAGTGGGCAGTGTCAAGCAATTGTGATTAATATATAAGATCTAATGGACAATAGTTGACAACTACAGGAACAAATAGGTGTTGCAGGAAGGATGGAAACTCTTACAGGTCAAAGGTATTAAAAATAGAGAACACTGTAGTAGATATAAACAGCTGATTTGAGGGACTCATCTGTAGACTGAACGCAGCTAGTAAAATAATCAGAGAGCGTGGAGCTCTGTCTGTAGAAACTTTTCCAAATGAAATAAGGGGAAAGAAATGAATGGAAAAATATAACAGTAGACCTAATATTTACTGTATGATGAGTTGAACATTACTGGAACACCAGAAGGGGAAAGGGAAGGGGAAGAAATATTTGTTATAATAATGGCTGAGGATTTTCCAAAGTGAATGACAAAAACCAAAGTCTAGATACAGGAGGCTTAAGGAATACCAAGCAAGATAAATACCAGAAACATCAAATATCATCTTTAGACTGCTGGAAAACTAAAGACAATGCAGGAAATCTTGAAAGGAACCAGAGGGAGAAAAATGCCTTAAGCACATAGGAGTTACAAAAAGAATTACAGTGGGTAAGAAGAGGGGAAGAGGGGGAATGATAGCAGCCAAATTATGTTATTGTATGCATATACAAATATGAAACAACAAATCCCACCATTGGTACGGCTATAGTGTACCAATAAGAAATATGGAAAAATTTAAAAATATGGATTGAACTTAAAAAAAAGTTATAGTGGACTTCTGGTCAGAAGCCATTAAGCAAGTGGAAGGTGTTAAAGTGTTAAAAGAAAATGTTGAAAGTGTCAGAAAGGAAGAGTGTAGAAAAAGGAATCTGTGAAGATAAAGTAAAATGTTTCTTGTCCTTATTTTTAACTCATCAAAAAAATAATGGTTTATTTAAAGTGATAATAGGAAGTACGTATTGAGTGAGCAGAGCATAGCTGAAATGGGTGACAACGATGCTGTGAAGGACTCAAGGGTCAGACTTGAGATCTGGTCTCCATGCTCAGCTTCAGAAACTGCATGGGAGTCTGTACTAATAGATGCATACACAACTGTTCATATTTCTGTAAAGTATGGAGTGAACCCTCACATGATCTATGGACTTGTCTATCACACTTAATGCAAGATGGTAATAAGAGGAGAACTGGAGCTGGGGAAAGGGTAGATGAAAACGCTTTGTGCTCTTTGCTTACTTTCTCTAAGGCTTAAAGTACTCCAAGAATAACGTTCATTATTTAAAAAGAAAAAAAAAATGCTTTGACTAAGGCCCAGGTCTTCTGTGATCAATGGAAGTTGACTTGAAGAGTCTTACAGGAGAGGAAGAGATGAGAGAGGACTGAGTCTTGGAGCTCAGAATCAAAGCAGCACTGGCAAGACGAGGCAGTAACCAGAGGACGGACTTTTAACCTACATGCGTATTGTTTCCAAGATGTCATCAAAGCTCCCTATTCCTATGCTTCCAAACTGGAGAAACACAGGGAAACATGATTTTGCATTGAGTATCAGCTAATTTAGTTGGCAGAGACGTTTGGAGTCAAGGGAAGATTTGTGTTTTATTACTTCCTTCAGTCTAATTGAGTCAGCCATTACCCTCCAAGCACTTTTTAGGACCCCTGTGTTCAGTTGGTATTATTAAATAGCTATTGATTCACACAAGCTGACTAAGTGACTCTGAAGAAAGGAGAGAAAGATGATATTTTCCTTAATTCTAAGATTATTCCACTGTTTTTAGCCCCTGGAGATAACATAAGCCTTTTTTATTTGTTTTAGATTCTGAGGATTGAACCTGGGGCCCCCACACATGGTAGGCAAGCAGTCTTTCCACTGAGCCACACACCTCAGTCCTTTCTATGTCCCCCTTATTTTGAGACAGGGTCTTCCTAAATGGCCGAGCTGGCCCTCAAAATTGTGATCCACCTGCCTCAACCTCCAGAGGATGGAGTTACTTGGGAGGTACTCAGGTACCACTGTGCCTAGCTAACATTAGCCTTTTATGTCTAAGTGTGAGTGAGAACAGTAGTACAACAGCACAGAGCTGAAGGGGAATCGTAGCCTCATGGGCCTCATTTGGCTGCACTGTGAAATCTCCAGGAGTCTAGCCTATTGCTGATGCCTGCCTCCTAGCTCTAGAGAGTTTGATTTCTCTTGTGTGGGGTACAGACTGAACATCAGGATATTTTAATGTGCAGCCACACTTGAGAAGTAATGAGCTAGAAGAAGGTTTTTCATCACAGGAATATCTTTAGTACCCATCACTTTTTTTCATTCAGAACAAGTCAGGCTTCTTTCTCCTTATATCTCCTTGCGCCCTCACCGACACACACAATTACCTGTTAGTTTTTGCTTTTTCTTTTACCACTCTAAGGGAGGACATTGATAATGCCCGCAGGAGCAAGTAGTGTATGGGAAATCTTAGCACCTTCCTTTCATTTTGAACCTAAAACTAGTGCCAAAAGAAAAAAAAAAGTAAGTGAATAAATAAATGATTAAAGTATTTTAAAAACAAACAAGCTAATTTCCTTGGGGTATTATATTTACTCTGAGTCTTATAATCAGGGTGAAAATGCTTACTAATGCAGATTAAGTGAGATGATATAAAGTGCTTGGCACATAGAAAGCTTTCTGCATAAATGGCTAAATAAATTGGCTGGTTGGCAGAGAAACTGTATCACAGCATCTTTGATTCTTGTACAGTAAAATCCTTTTGTCCTCTTGGTTCTCAAAAGTATAATAAAGTATAGGGCTGTTTTGCGATGATTCCATGAAATAAGGTAAGTAAGTACCTAGTACCCTGCTTGACAGTAGTCACCTCTCAACAAACAGTAGCTGATAGTAGGTGGCTTTTTCACTTTCTTATTTTTTTCACTTTCTTATTTTATCTCGGGGACTCTCTTTATCTTGGACTCTCCTTATCAGTTGGATTACACACAATAGAACTTATTCTCTTGGAGGGATGTATTTAATATCTCTAATCTTCCAGATGTTTATTCTACTTAAATTTATATTGAATTTTTTCTCCGTAGGCAGTTTTCCCACTTTTTCAGTTTCTTATTTCCCCCACCGAAAGGACATATGTTTCTCTTCTGAATATTAGAAGCACATGGGAGGGAACCCATAAGTATTACCAAGATATCAATTTCTCTGTGGGCATTTTTAATACAGTGAACAACTGAGAAAAATCATTGAAAATTTTGTATCAAAGATAAAACATTTATAGAATATGATGTATAAATCAGTCAAATACTAAACATTAAAATCCTTTCAATGCATTGAAACAGTTGTCTTTAATTTCTCTTTCCCTGCCCAGGTAGTTTTAATTCAGACACACTCTCAAAAGGGTGTGTTTTTGTTCTTAGAGCCTTATTTAAAAGGCTATTCATGCTGGAAGAATTCCCATTGTGTTTTTTTTTTTTTTTAATAGATTAAAGGGCATTTTACATGTGAAATAATCATTTATTTTTAGATATGGCAAAATCTTACCATTGTATCACAATGAGAGAAAATTCAGCTAAAATTCAACTGAATATTTTTAAACATATTACATTGGGGTGTGACAGGCTTATATAACCTATTTCTTAGTGTTTGTTATTTATTTATTTTTTCCAAATAACTATGACATATGTGTGTGTGTGTGTGTGCATGTGTGTGTATACACACATACACATATGACATATAAAACAAAATATTTTTGTCAGTCAAATAAATTGATGAAGCAAAAATGTGACCTGATTTGCTTTTTTCACTGGACTTAACTTGGTAAACCCATCATAGGTTGAAAATATCACAAGTGGAGAATGCATTTAACTGACCAAATATAACACCTTAGCAACATGGCTCACCTTATTATCAGTTGTTTATGCTTTCTGTGGCTGACAAGGAGGTGTGGCCTCCTTTTGTTTCCCAACCCGTCGGTACTCCTAGCCCAGATAAAGGTTAAAATTCAATATTTCTTTTTTTTTAAATTCAATATTTCAATATTTCAAATCCTTTTGTCCTCTTGGGTTCTCAAAAGTATAACAAAGTATAGAGCTATTTTGAGATGATTCCATGAAATAAGGTAAGTACCTAGTACCCTGCCTGACAGTAGTCACTTCTCAACAAATAGTAGCTGATAAGTAGGTGGCTTTCTCACCTCAAGACCACTGCAAAGCCGAACCCCCAATGGGATGGGGTTTGGTCTGTAGTAGAAGCACAGGAGCTATACTCAGTCCTGTGAACCCCAAACCCATAGTCTTTCTGCTGGGCTCTCCCTATAGTATGGTTTATATCATTATTAGAAGGCATTCATGTTTTCATGGTGTAATTTTTTATGGTCATTAGACAAAGGCATCCTGTATGCCAGACTTGTATCATCTCCATATTGATCAAGAATTTATGTTTGGCATCTGTTCCGAGGGTCATTCGGTAAATTTCAGCATAACTTTGGAGTGAGTCAACGTCATGCTCCACTATTGATAGCCAGCCATGTGGTATCATGCCTATTTTTCACTGCTTTCTAGACTATTTCAGTTACTAGTCAATATTCTTTCAATTGCAAGTCAGAAAACCAACTTCAGCAATCTTTTTTTAATTTATTTTAAAAATATATGACAGTGGAATGCATTACAATTCATATTACACATATAGAGCACAATTTTTCATATCTCTGGTTGTTTGTAAAGTATATTCACACCAATTCGTGTCTTCATACATGTATTTTGGATAATGATGTCCATCACATCCTACCATCATTGCTAACCCTCTGCCCCCTCCCTACCCCTCTATGAATCAGTCTCCTTATATCAGAGAAAACATTAGGCATTTGTGTTTTGGGGATTGGCCAACTTCACTTAGCATTATCTTCTCCACCTCCATCCATTTACCTGCAAATGCCATGATTTTATTCTCTTTTATTGCTGAGTAATATTCCATTGTGTATATATGCCACATTTTTTTTTTATCCATTCATCTACTGAAGGGCATCTAGGTTGGTTCTACAGTTTAGCTATTGTGAATTGTGCTGTTATGAACATTGATGTGCTGTGTACCTGTAGTATGCTGTTTTTAAGTCCTTTGGGTATAGACCAAGAAGTGGTATAGCTGGGCCAAATGGTCCCCAACTCTAGAAATCTTAAGTGGAAAGGGATCCACTGGCACATTTAACTAGGAGGGTGGTGATGCACCTGCTAAGAGTTAAGATCACTGTTGCTAAGTTTCTGTGTCCTTGCAGGTGCAACCCTAGAGAGGAGAAAATACTTATATTTTAGGTTTCATACATTTTAAGTGAACAAATGAATGAACCCAAAGAAGGGCTTGATATGAGCAGCTTAGGTCACACGCTCACCCTTGAGTTGAATTGCAGCAAGGCAAGATGCTCTGCAGGAAGGGCTGTGTTTTTCTAAGAGGGAAGTTAGTGGGAAAGGAAGATAAGCAAGTGAAAGTGGCTCATATTCATTATAATAATAGCTCTGGCACTTATACTTTTATTTAGACAACAGTGCACATTGTCATCTCACCTATAAGAAAGAGGTAATTAAAAAGACCTAATCAGGTATTTTGCAGATGATTGCATTATTGCTTTGTAGTAGTTTTAGTGAAGTTAGTTTGTTTCTGTGCACCTCTAGGGGCTTTAGTTCAAGGGTGGGTGCAGGATTTATTTCCCATACCCAATTGTCCCATATGGTGCTTCTCAAACTAGTTTCCTAATGTTCTCCAAAAACCAAGAAGAGTGAATTGTACAGCTAGGAGCTTAGGGAGGAAAGCAAGAATCATTCATTTGAAGATTATCATTAAACAGTCATCCATATTTTGCAATATACTCTGTTATTTTCTCATTTAAGCTTAAATAAACTGTAATTTTGAAATGTTACTAAATTCCATTGTCCTTCCAGGAAGATACGCTATGCTCTTTTGATTTTTAAAAAATCTAGGATAAATAAAGTGGGTTAAGAAAAGCAAGCTTTCAGAATACTTTTTGGTCAAACTCAGGATTTTTTTTTTCCACCTTTGGGAATTTCAGACACCAGGCATTTACTTGGTGGTTTTGGAATATGTTAAAAGGTCTCAAATCAGAAAACATCAGTTAATGCTCTGCTACTTGAGCTTAGTTTTTGAGCCTCAGTTTCTCATCTGAATAGCAGAAATAATGTTAATGGGTAATACATAGTATTGAGTGATGTGAGGTTTAAATTAAATAAGTCATGTAAAATGCTTGTGTGTGGAAAAAATACTCAAAAACTTTTAACGTGTTGTGATTAACTTGGTTATTTACCTGTGTTCTCTTGTCATCACTTTTCCTATTAAGATTCTGAGATTTTAGCTTGCTGTCTCTCAGATGAATGCAGAGATCATTTAGGTTCTCTGATGGGTTTTCCTTTAATGTATTGGAGTTAACTAGAGAGAGTACACATATTAAGAACATGTTGAACATCTTAAGAACATTAAGTATGTTGACTACATCCATGTGTGAGTTAAGGACATACATATTTGAGTGTTGAAGATGAGGTTTAGGGTGACATTAATAATCATTATATTTTCTCTCCCTTAAAAGGAATTATGGGTCGTCTCTTTTTGCCCAATGTGAAGCAGCAGAGAATGGTTGTCAGCAGGTTCTTTGGCTCTATGGAGAGGATAATCAGATAACGGAAGTCGGAACTATGAATCTTTTTCTTTACTGGATAAATGAAGATGGAGGTAACACACTCAGATTTCAGCTCTGTGCTATGTTTTGACCATTTTCAATGAGACTCAAAAAGATAAGAACTAGAAAATTAGAAAGAGGGAGTAGGTAACCCAATTCCCAAGGCAAAGAATATTGTGCTTTTGAGTCCAATTGGACTTCAGTTTTAATTTCAAGAAGTTATAAAGACTTTGTTTTTGTTTTTGATGTACTAATTACTGAAATGTCACATTAAGGGATTTAAGTCACTGTGATTTGAAGATATGTTGCTTTCTGCTGTTTGCCACATAGCAAGCATACTCCTATCTGAATACCTTGTATGAGGAAATAGGTCTCAGATCAGTTCAGTGTGCACTAACCATCAACAAAATTTGAAATACTATAGTAATACAGTCTACTGATTGTTTTGATAGAGCATTTAGTGTACCCTTTTGATATACACACATATATGCACGTGTGTGTGTGTGTGTGTGTGTGTGTGTGTGTGTAGCTGTATTTTTCTCTTTCTGTTCTGGGGATTAAACCCAGGGTTTCATGCCATTAGGCAAGTCTCCACTGTTGATCTACACCCACAACCAACTTTCTATAATTTTTTAAATAATTGCAGACTGTTTTTTTTTTTATACCTTTGTAATTTGTCAGAAAACCTCCAGATTTAGTCTAGAGCTTTACTTGATGAAAATGCACTTTTAAAAACAAATCATTGTATCTTAAGATTATATCTAGACCCTTGTTCATTTAAGACTATTACTATATGTCTAGAAATCAGGACTTCTTTACCACCTTTAATATCCTGAATGCTCATTACCTTTCTTTGCTATTTTTTTTTAAGTAGTTGCCAGAGACCATAGGGGTTTGGTGAAGTGTTGACAATGTATATACCATTAAGTTAAATGGCCAAAAGTGTGTCTGTTGCGGGGAGATATGTATTTATTTCTATTAGAATTTTGATAACCACAAAAAATTTAGAAACATATTTTTAAGCGTGTTTTTCCTCCTAGACTGTTCATTTCACAGTGAGTGTCCTGACTTGAAATGTAAAATGATGTTTCTGAATACTTGTGAGGTCTCAGTATTTTCAAATGACATTTTAATTCTACACTAGCCTCTGGTGCTCTTATGTTATTTGGCTAGAAAAAAGAGGAAAGTGGTGATTCAGATGTGGCTGAGTGCAGAGCTGTGTACCAATTTAAGCATTAGCTGCAAAGACTCAACAGGGTGTGCCTTAGATTCCACCAGAGGTAGGGAACACAGGAGGTATGGGCAGCGCCCCTTGTCCTGAGCTGGCCTTGGTAATTCTTGGCATACGAAAGCCAGGTACAGCCCATGTTCATCTTCCGTTCCTGCTGCTTGTACTTGGTACTGTTAAAAAACCACACTTAAACTGGAAAATTTGTGAATTTCAGTTTTTGAGTTATTTTATATACATACATCAAAAATTAGGCCAGGGCTGGGGTTTGGCTCAGTGGTAAAGCATTTGCTTAGCATGTGTGAGGCGCTAGGTTCGATTCTCAGCACCACATAAAAATAAATAAATAAAGGTCAATTGACAACTAAAAAATTATTTAAAAATAAAAGTATGCTAGGGGGGCTGGGGATATCACTTAGTTGGTAGAGTGCTTGCCTCGCATGCACAATGCCCTGGATTCAATCCCTAGGATCACCCCCACCCCCCAAAAAAATTATGCCAGGAAAAAGATGGTGAATGTCGAACTCCATACTTAGGAGAAAACTGATTGATTCCACTTTTCTTCCCACCTGCCTATTCCTTCTCTTCCCCGCCACCCCTAAACCCACACAACCAACCCAAAGCAAAAATAGTTGCATCACTCAGACTGGTGCCACCATTGTGTATGGCTGAGAGCTGTCAGGATTTAAGCACCCGCTGAATCAGAGCTACAAGATTTAATCAGAAGCATCAAGAAACTGCCCAGCTAAAAAACAATCCTTATCCAAACAAGAATCATGGAGCATTTCTATCATGGCTTTTAAAGGTCAGAATAAAAATGAGTGAATTTGTCTTCTGCCTCTTGCAAAATAAGACCTTGAGAGCTTCTCTTTAGTAACTCTTGCCTGAGGCAACTTTAGGTTCAGGGTGCACCTTCGGTTGAGGGTGTTCACCAAAAAGGGCAAATAAATTTGAAACAAGGAGAAAGGGGATGAAATAAATTCCTGAACAGTATTAGGAGAGAAGAAAACAGAACGTTAGCAACAACCTTCAGACCCAAAAGTAAGACACTGAAGCAACTCTGCAGAGACTTTGATTCATGCCACCACGTGGCTTTCTGAAAATACAAAAAAAAAAAAAAAAAAAAAAGTTGAAAGCCAGCAAAATACTGATCTTTTTCACAAATTTTGATAATAGGAGACATAAGCAGGGTTCTTTCAGTAGGGACCTACCACCCCTCTTGGACAAGGGGTTGGTGCAGAAAGGTAGATAAGTCAGACAGTGTGTGTAGAAAGCGCAGTGCTATGCCCAGTGGCTATTTGTGGCCCTTGGTCTGCTCATGGGAATTTTGATTCCTGTAACCAACTGGTAATAAAAATCACACATCTTCCATTTTCTTTCTTTCTTTCTTTCTTTCTTTCTTTCTTTCTTTCTTTCTTTCTTTCTTTCTTTCTTTCTTTCTTTCTTTTCACTCTGTTGATAAGTAATTTAACATATACACCTCACTGTTTGAACAAATTTTATTGTGGTCTGGACACTGGGGATGTAACGCCAGATTCGTGGGACCCCAGTAGACCTCCAGGAGCTGAATCCGATGCAATCACACAGAGTCTTTATTGTAAGCTCGAGCCTGGACTCACAACCATTTCCAATGCAGCGGTCCCAGGGAGTGAGTCCCGGTCCTTTGTTCAGTGAGATTTTCTAGGTTTTGGGGGGATACTCTATGCGTCACAACATCACACAGCAAATCATTCCATACCGCGGGAAAATCAAACAACTCTTAACATTGATTAGCACATTCACTGGCGGGAACAAGTTGGGTAGGGGTGATTGTTTAGTACAAGAGGGGGATTCCTTTGAACTGATTGGTTTAGGCTACGAGGAGAGTACGTGCTGAACTACATGGTTTCCCAACATGTTATCAATCACCATAAACTACTGGGGGGGGGGTCACCTGGCATCCCAGGTATTTTCCCTGTCTCATGCTGATCAGTGGTTGCTAGGGGGTTGCTATGGGTCTTCACCTAGCCTAACTGAGTCAGGGACACCTGGTGCCACAGATCTCTCCTGTTATTTGCAGACAAACAACTCAGCAGGGTGGGTATGTGCCTAGGAGTGCTCTGTGGGTTTTTCCCAGGACAAGGGTCACGCCCCCTTCCTTGGACAGGCTTTGCTCTGAGGTAGAGGCTGGTTTCTCAAAAATGGAGTCACATTAGTTTCTCAGGGACACTCAGAAGAATATAGCCCAGCCCTGTGGCTGTGCTCACAGTTGGCATGGGAGCATGATGGCCACAGGTGTCACTGCTGCAATGTCCACCCAGCCTGTGAGCCTTTTTGGCCACGTAGGTGTTTCCATTCTCTCCTCTGAGCTCTGGCCGTCAGACGTCTGCATGCCTAGGTGTTTCTCAGCCTCCCAGTCTTGGTGAAGGACTCCTCAGTATGGTTTTCCTTGAGTCTTTGTTCAGAATTGTAACCTCCCCCGCTTCCCCCTTTTTTTCTTCCATGATCTATGAGAATATTTAACACAATAATCGTTCGCCTGTGCCTGTCACAAAGTAAGTAGGGACTTGGATCACTCTGGTTCATAGAGCTTAAAACAGTTTACACTTGCTGTATACTTGCTGAAGAAGTGAGTAACTGTGCTGCTGGTGTTCAGGGCTCTTGTGTAAACCTGCATTTCCACTCTCCATCAGTGCTTGACTTTGGGAAGTCAAGCAAATCCTGCTGTTATTGCTTCTAAATTCCTCATCCCCTGAAAATGATCTCTTTGTTAAAGACAAGCTGCACTTTGTAGGTTCTGTTTTCCTCCTGTTGGGCAATCTGGAATTGGTTCTGGCTCCTGTGAGCATGTTTGTGGTTGCACAGGAAAATGAATATTTCTCACCCAAATGTTGTCATGTCATCCTCTCTGTCTGGCAACCAGAGGAGCAGATGTTCTGTTCCTTGACCTCAGGCTAGTGGTTACAGTTCTGGGTGTTAAATGGATTTCACAAAACAGCATTTGCACATGCAAAGCTGCTGTTTTCATTTAACTTTGTGTAGTCTCAGAGCTGTGCACGCTTTAGGAAAGGTCCAGTTTAGGCTCACTGTAAGTGTGTGTGTGTGTGTGAGAGAGAGATAATCACACATACATATAGACCTATACATTTCTGTATCTAGCTAACTAGCTATCACAAAACACATGTTTATTTTGAGATCATCAACACTTCTAAACATGACAAAAAGTAGCCCTGAGGATAGTGCCAAGAACACATTTCATCTTTGCAGAAAGCAATTTTCAGCACGTGATTTTTAGAGACAAAATTCCAAAATCCATATCCCTATGTATCCTAGCAAAGAGGGTTCATTTATTTATTTGTTCAAAATATTTAATTGTTTACCACTCTGGGCCAGCCACAATGAGTTTTGAGGATCTGAGGATGGCTCTGGACTTCTGGGACCTCCAGACAGAGCCCTATGTAGCAGCCACACTGGAGCCCGTGCCCAAGGGTCAGGGCACATGAGCTGCGGTCCTGTCCTTACCCCAGAGTCACCAACCTTGACAAGCCCAGCACTTGTGTTTATTTCTTCTTCTGTAAAATAGGATTGGTTTAAATGAATTCTAAACTTCTTTTTAACTACATAAAAGACCCTGGGGGAGCCCCAGGTCATCAGTGTGATTCCTTCCAGCTTTCGCTACCTAGTGACCCTTTCAAGAACACTTTGTGAATTTCTCTGCAGACGCCTAATGGGCAACAATTTATCTGATAAAAAGTTTAACATCCTTGTGGAGTAATGATTTATGGTTTGAAGATTTAGATTCTCAGGTGGCAGAAGTAGGGAAGAAAGGCAAATGTTGAGTACCAGAGACAGCCTGTTGTAAGAAGAGCTTGTGTGGCTGAGAGACAGACCCTGGCGCTAGGGGCCTGTGGTCCTCTCACAGTGGACCAGTGGCCCAGCTGTGGAGTTTGTTTGGGGGATTTCCTCTTTAATTCTTGGGTGAAGTCAGCATCTGCATATTTGGTGCTGATACTCCAGCAGGTTTGAAAACCACTAAACATAGATTTTGTAAAGGGCAGTGCAGAAGTAGTGCCCAGCCCAAGTAGCCAGGCATATTTCTTTCTCTCCCTCCCATAGTACTGAGGATTAAACCCAACACCTTGTATATTGTAGGTCAGCACTTTACCCCTGAGCAACGTCCCTAGCCCCCACTTTTTTTGAGATAGGGTTTTGCTGAGTTGTTGAGGCTGGCCTCAAACTTTTGATTCTCCTGCCTCAGTTTCCCAAGTAGTTGGGATTAAGGGTGTGCACCAGCTGTATGAGCATTTCTTAGGGAACAGCCTCCTTCATAGAATTCTCAGAAGGTTTGGTAATGTGACCCGTGTTCCTTAGCAGGATCCTGTCTACTTGCCCCAACTATGAACCAGGTTTTATCTATTAAGATAAATTTTGACTTCAGGATGTTCCTCTTGAGAAAAATTCTTTACTTCTTACTTGATAGTGGAAGACCATCTCTTTATTTTACTGATTAAGGATACGTTCCAATTTCTAATTGACAGAGGAAGAACTGGCAACTCCTCCGCTAGATGGCATCATTCTTCCAGGAGTGACGAGGCGGTGCGTCCTGGACCTGGCGCACAAGTGGGTGGGTACCTTTGACTCGAACGCTTTCATAAGCCCGAAACAGTACAGTAATCAAAATAAGCATAGCTCCCAGTGAAACAATATCCTGTGGTTCTAACCAATGTTATCTTTAAATCATACCTTGAGTCACTGGATAGAAAGAACTCCCTAGAAAGACCATCTTGGCAAGCTTATAAAGTGAGTATTGTTTCGAGGGAAGGGACAGAGACACCAGTTTAACAAGATGTCCTAATGAGGAGCTGTTCTAGTCCTTGTCTCAGACTTTATACCGGTATCTCACCAGCTTGTCCCGCCGAGGCTCTGTGTGCTGCTGTCCTTCCAGTCCTGTAGGATAGCGTGGTTCTTCGCTTCCTCTGTTTAGTCCAGAGGAACTAAACATACAAATGGAAGAGTCTTCCTGACGTGTGACTGTCTCCTAGCAGAACGCTGTTAGTTTGGTAGCCTTCTTTCTCTCTCTACTGCCCCCTATGGTCCGCAGTTCATATACATGCTTTTTTTTAAACATCAAAACATAGAGGCAAATGTCAAGTTGTTTTCAGTAGACTTTCAAATCCATGCGACACAAGCAAGCCTATTAAACTGTTTGGTATTGGAAATAACATGGCGTTCTCAGGATGAATATTGGATGAGTTAATTGTCTGGCAAAGGTTCTTGGAGAGAACTTTTGACCCATGTGTTAAAATGGCCTCCAAAGACCAGGAAAGGCTTTGTGCATACTGTGGTCAGACAATACTGACAGGACAAATGCTCAGAAATGCACACATTATCCAGGAGAGTACTGGCAATTTCTCTGGAAAAGACTGAAAGTAGAAGAAATGTGCTATAAATAATTCTACAAAACCCTGAAGTAGACAAGACCCAACTGCCACATGCTGGCTGGCACATTGGGCATGACATTTACAAACTGTTGGTATAATTTCAAACAGCTTGCCCTGTCCTAAATATGTTTGCAATTGGAAAGATATATTTTCGACGCTCAGTAATTTTTGTTTTATTAAAGAAAAAAAAGCAACCAAGTACAGAAGGTTTGATGACAAGTTGCAAGTGGAAATGCTTTCCCACACTAATGATTTGCTAGCATGAAAAATAGGTTATAATGGAGGAAGTTTTTCTTGACTCCTTGGCTGTAATTTATTTTAAAAGCTATTTTAAAACAGTGAGACATCAAATGCCAAGAGGCATGTGGGGGGTTACCACTACTTGCCAAACAGGGGAAATTGTCCAAAGATAAGTAAGGGTGAACAGAGTAAAAACAATTCTGTTTATTTACCAGAGAGTTTTATTTATTTATTTTTTCTTTTCCAGAACATGGAACTGAGCTTGTTTTCAATAACTTTGGCTGATTTACTGGAATTTATTTATTTACCTTTGAACAACAAAATTGCAAGTGCAGACTGAGAAAAACGTACATATTTCTATTGCAGACATACTTTGCTATCCCTCCAAATCCACTTACAGCATCATGCATGCTTTTTCTAATATTTTTTATCTTGCCAAGGACTTTGACTTCCATTTTTATATATTGTGGGTTTTATAGGTTTTGTTTTTTCCTTTTTTTATTTGTTCTTTTTAGATATACATGACAGTGGGGTGCATTTTGACACATTGTGCATACATGGAATATAATTCATTCTAATTAGGATCCCATCCTTGTGGTTGCACATGATGTGGAGTTTCATTTGTAGTATACTCATATATGAACATAGGAAAGTTACGTCCAATTCATTCTACTGTTTTTCTTATTCCTATGGTTTATAGGTTTTTTAAAAAGACTCTCATTTTTCTTTCAATGTAGACAATTTTATTGTCCTCAATTAAAAGATCCTTTGACAAAACTTTGAAAGAATGAGAATTAAAATATTAAAGCATAGTATTAGAAAGGTAGTTTAAGCAGGTAGTTTATAAGATTCCTGAATTGTTTTTCTATTTTCTGGTTTTAAGCAATTAAGATATTCAAACAATCAAGCAGAAGTTGGTGAAGTTACATACTTATTCCATTATGACAATCTCATGTGATACTAAAAGAGAAAAAGGAAGATTATCAAATCAACTTTCAGTGAATTTATAAAGAAAAAATATATGTACAATGCAATTTCTCTAAGTAAAGTTCAAGTATATATTTATTTTTTAAAAAACATTTCAGATATTTGAACTCAGTGTAATGTTTTTGAGGGAGTGGGGGTTACCCAGCATTGAACTCAGGGGCACTCAACCACTGAGCCACATCCCCAGCTCTGTTTTGTATTTTATTTAGAGACAGGGTCTCACTGAGTTGCTTAGCACCTCACTTAGGATGAGGCTGGCTTTGAACTAGCGATCCTCCTGTCTCAGCCTCCTGATGTGCTGGGATTACAAGTGTGCGCACTTAACACTGCACCTTGACTCAAACTATTTTTTACTCCAAAAAAAGACCCAGTAAAAAGTGGACAAAATTTAGAGCCAGTTGGATCAGACATGGGTTCAAATTCAGTTTCTGCCATTTACTAGCTGTGTGGCCTTGGGGATAACCCTTAATTTCCCTGAATCTTAGTTTACTCCTAAGTAAAAAGGAGATAGTAACACTTACCTTCAGCATTAAAGAACTTGGCTTATAATGAGTAGATGGTAACTGTGATTATTAATAATGTATAATGTGTTATTGTTGTTCTTTATGCTAAAGTATGTGGAATGTACATTAAGTAGCACTTGGAATGGGTCAGTTTTGTATTTTGATAATCTTATTTACTTATTACTATTGGTATTGAAATAGATTGCTTAACACCTCAGTGCATTCACCAATACAGTGAGATTACATCCTTCCCAGCTTTCCCCTAAAGGATGATTATGACATTATCTGAGTTGAATTGGAAAGTAAAATACTAAGGTAAGCATCACTTCTTTATATACATATATATATTCCAAACAGGGTGAATTTAAAGTGTCAGAGAGGCACCTCACCATGGACGACTTGACAACCGCCCTGGAGGGGAGCAGAGTGAGGGAGATGTTTGGCTCTGGCACAGCATGTGTTGTCTGCCCAGTTTCTGATATACTATACAAGGGCGAGGTAAGACAAGCTGTTCTTTCCTTCCTGTTATTTTAAAACATTTGCCTATAATTTAATTAACTTTTAAATGTGTGAATAAAATTTTATTTGGACCCAAGACACAGAGGGTTGTTTTATAACATGGCATTACATTAATCAGGACAGTTTGTTCAGATGAACCTGTAATGGCATATTACAACCACCTTTCCAGTGATTTCATGTAAGCTCCAACATGGTAGGAACTCAATTTTGTCTTTGGCAAGTGTCATGTCTGTGTTACCTCACCTTAGGACTGGAGCTATGCCAATGGACTTCCACTTTTATCTCTTTCCACCAGCTCACTAAAAAAGGCTCAGTAGGTAGTTAGAATCAGTAGGTAGTTTTCTGATTTCCAAAACTGCTTTCAAACTACTGGATAGGAATGCCAGATAGTTATGAAAAATGCATTTGAATGGTCAATTCCTTCACTTATTACTATCAGTATTATTATTATTAAGTAGACTGCAGTATAAAAAAATTTCATTTGGCAAACCCAGTACATTAACTAAAATATTCCCAAGAAACTTGAGGATTTGGCTGGAAGTAATGTTCTCCTCTCAGTCTGATTTTGTATGTATGGTACTTTTATTATCTTGCCAGTGCTTTGACTTTCCCCTTTAACAAAGCTCTAATACTCATGATTAACATCAGCATCTACCTTTAGAACTTAGAGACATGTGAGAATTATTCTTACAAGATGAATTGACTTAAATGGCCCGTATTAAATACAAATTCCACTGGTCTTTAAGTTCCGCCACACAATTATTTTCCTCAGCAAATCAGATTGATTTTTCTATAGACTTTAATGGTGGCTGCTTCATTGATTAAGGTTTTAGAACTTGGCTTTTAAGGGATGGTTCCTGACATAAATCCACATACAGATTGATTGTTTCATGGGAAAAGAATTATACCGTTTTATATCAGTACTTATACTGATTATAAAGCTAGTGTTCAGTATTTTATTATGACAGTACCTAGGTAAGGATATCTGTCCCCTTTATTAAAAGAAGCTCTCATTAGGTCAGATTTTTAAAACATCCAGTTATTATTTCACCTCTAGAAACAAGTTTATAAAGTTTCACCTTTTTAATGGTTCTGTTTTAGAAGGCATTTAGAGCCAAAAGTTACATCTAATTATCCTATTATACTAAAAGGCATAATAAGAAAAGTGTTTGAGAGTACAACTATCTACTAAAATCAAACTACCCAAAGCCCACAGCCAGTGAGGCATGAATGGGCATGACTCACATACAAATTAGGGGTATGCAATCTCTTTCAGCCACAAGTTTAATTATGTTGTCCAGTATTATGGAGGTCATGGTCCTTGGAGATTTTACTTGCACCCAAGGTAGATTTAGAAGCCTCTTTTGTCAAGACATAGACAGACTTGCTTCAATTTATATCCCAAAATGTTGTCCTCAAATTATCTCATTTCTCTTTTATAGACGATACACATTCCAACTATGGAGAATGGTCCTAAGCTTGCAACCCGTATCTTGGACAAATTGACTGATATCCAGGTAAAGACTTCTTTCTTTTGAAATACCACACAGGAGTTGGAGGTGTGCTTAGCATGTGTAAGGCCCCGGGTTTGATCCCCAGCACCAAAAAGCAAAAATAAAAATAAAATACCACCTTATTCCATCCCAGAAAAAAAGAGTAAATATTACAATTTGAGATCAGTAAATTAAATTTAAGGAAACCATTCCTTCTCCTATGGGTAGGCATGAGCAGAGCAGTAATGGAAAAGAAGATACGTATTAAAAGAGAAAGAGAGATTATTAGAGACTCCAGATTAACATTTTAAAAGTAAATGTAAATTTTGATAATACTTAAGTCTCATCAAAAAGTATAACATTTTCGTTTAAAAAACTCTTGAAAACAGAACAAAACACAGGAAGCAAATTGTTATCTGTGATTCCAACACTGAGGTAGAACTGCTGTACTCTTGAAAGTCTACACCTTCAGTATTGAGTAAGCCTTTGTATACTTTTAGACCATGATTTTCCCCCAAAAATGGAGTCAGATTATACATAATTTTGTTCCCTTTGCTTTTTCATCTGAAATCACTTTCTCAATACCTCTTATATAGTTCAATTGAATTCTATTATATTGATACATTATCATTTTTTAAAGAAATCATATTATTGAACATTTGTGTTGCTGATGATTGTTTTCACTTCTCTGAATAGTACATAGTTGATTATTTCCTTAGGAAAAACAATCCCCTGGTATTGTATTGAGTTGAAGGGCATGCACCCTATTTTTTCATACCACTAGCTTTGTTTCACCCAATTTTTTTTCTGAGCAACAGCCTTCAGTAATGTCTCATCAGGCAGTCAGGCAGACATGCCAAATATCAGATAATACTGGGCTACCTAAAGAAGAGACTATTCTATAATTTACATACCGTTTACAAGTTGGAGGATTTTTTTGAGCCCAGGTACTATCATTGCCTGTTACTGAAATTATCCAAAGGGAGCTGAGACCAATATTGAAAAGTCAAATAAAACGTGATATTTTAGGTAATGTCAGATGATATTGAGTCATAAAATTAAGCAGATTTAAAGGTGGTTGGGAATGCAGCAGGTACCTAGAGAGTAAATGAGGTTCTTGGGTAGTGATAAAAATGGTATTCTTTTAAGACTTACTCAATAACTTTTATGTAAGCTTTATGGTATTAAAAGGAAAGAATGGTTCTGGGTTTTGAATCAATGAGCTGCCTTACTTCAACAAAGTTTTCTCTAAGAATTTTCTGTAAGCAAAAAAAAAAAAAAAAAAAAAAAGAAAGAAAAGAAAACAATAATTTTCATATTGGAAGAGAGAAAAATATCACTCAGTTTTTTTCTGCTTTTATATGCAGAAACAAGTAACCTGAGGGATAACTAATAAACAATTGCTGAATTGATGGCTCAGACATTTTAATTTTTTTCAGAGTTGTCTAAATAAACCTGATGAAGATGTTAAATTATTGCAGTTTTGCTCAGATAAAGAGCATAAATGGAACAAAAATAATCATAATCGGATAGATTGAGAAAGCCATTTTCCATAGGAATTTAGAGATTTTTAGGAGGGGAAGAAGTGTGTCCATAAATGAGAAGAGAGAAAGATTGCTTCAGAAAATTTTCTTGCACAAATTATACATTTATAGCAGCTAATACCTAAAATGAGATTTCAGGGATGTCTCTTGAAGATTATATAAAATATAATTATTGAGTAAGCCTAGCATGTGTAAGGCCCTGGGTTCAGTCTCCATTACTGCAGAAAAGAAAGTAAAATTTAAACTCACTTGATTTGGTTGTAAAGGCTTCACAGAAAAGTCACTACATTGAGAGAAATTCCACCATTGTGCTGGAATTGAAATCTGCAATATGTATACGGGGTAAAAATGGGAGTTCATAATCTGCTTGAATCAAATGTATGAAATATGATATGTCAAGAGCTTTGTAATGTTTTGAACAACTAATAATAAAAAAGAAGAAAGAAAAAAGACCTAAGCATAGATGTTCAGTAAACATAGTCATGGGAAGGAATCATGAGGAGGCAAAGGCAGAAAAGGGTCTCATTGGCATTGAGATGCTGACATGTTTGCATGAGACCCAAAAGTATGAATGAAACTGAAGCACACACACGGAATTTGTGGGCAAGCTGGGAATCCATTATTAAAGTTCTCAAAAAAGAACATTTTTCAAAGCAATATCATGGAAGCCGAATGTTAGTGACTAAAGAAAATGTTCCTGAACTTTCCCCTCCCCTCTAATTTTATATGCTCTCTGTGTGCCTTAGTGCCATACTTTAGGTAGTAAAATATAATGGTAGAAACCCTAAAAACTAATGATCGATTTAGAGCCCCACAGTGAACAAAGAAACAAAGGGATACAGTCAGGGGACATGTGGGCAACTACAGCAATTCTGAATTAACCACAAACCAGAAGCTCCACATCTGCTCCACATTGAGCCACAGAGGACCACCCTTCATAGTCGAGGACCACACCTTTCTTCTTCATTTATTTTATGCCTGTGTGCACGGAACCTAAAGTCTCAAAATTGTTCTCATACAAGATGGCAAATTGGTGCTGTCGGCCAAGCTACTAGGTTGTCTGTTTCCAAGAAAAATAATTTAAGTAATTACTGAAGAAAAAGCATGGCATTGCATCATGCTTCACATTTGATCTCTTTTGGCATTATATGGAAACACAAATGGTTCCTACAAAGCACTCTGGTAAAATTGAAGATGAGGGATACAACCACCACCAAAAAAATTTTTTTCAAGATTCTTGCCAGAATGACCCAGGGGGAAAATTCTTCTTAACCACAGATTTGACTTTCATTTTAGCTTCTGTACTTCTGCATGAGTCAGAATCTCTGAAGTTAAGTATTCATCCCATCATCTCATTTAGCTAATTACCCATATTGCTCCTTGGGTCTTAGATTACTCCACAAATAACCTCCAAGAAGGGGAACATTTCCAAGAATAGTTACTTTCTTTTTCCCATTTTTTTTGTTGTTGTTGTTGTCATTTTTTAAGCAACAACAACAACAAAAAAAACCATGTCTTTGTTCATATTTAACCAAGTGTAAACTTGGAGAACATTCGTCATGTTGTCTGTTTCTTTTCTCTCCTATCATACTTTGCTGTTCCAGTTACTCACCATCATATTCATCTTTGCCCCCACTTTGGGGTCCTCTCTTTTCTCCAAAGGTGCTGTGCTCTCTGATGCCACCCATATTTGCAGCACCTTGTACGATTTGCCTGTCTGATAAGGTCTTGGTTATCTTCAATACTCATCTCTTTTTAAGTCTCTCTTGAACATTAACTCTTTCCTGCATCCCAAATACACATACACTCTCTGAAGTGTTACACTGACCGTAGTTTCAGGGATTACCATCTAATACATTATAATGAGCCACACCCTTATACCCTGCTTTGAAAACCTGTTCAGATGTTGAAATTGTTTATTTTCTTGTCATGCCCCAGGGTTCACTCAGGTTCTAGGGCAGAATACACAGGCCATGGTGCTTCTTCAGAGAATTAATAAAGCCGTGAATAGCTAAGTAAGACACCAGGAGAGTACCAAAGAGCAAAAGACCTTTTGCTTTTGTTTATTAACACATACTAAGAAGGGAGAGGGAATATCTTGAAGGATGTTGTTTTAGTCAGTTTCGTGTTGCTAAAGTGACATACCTTGGGCAACTAACTTTCCTAAGAGAACAGGCTTATTTAGCTCACAGTTTTGGAGGTTCAAAACCTAAGATCACTGAGCCTCATTGATTTGGCCTTTAATGAGAGGAGGAGATCAATGACAGCAGTGCATGTCACAGCAGCTGGTTACATCTTGAGCCAGGAAGCAGAAGGGATGGGCCAGGTTCCTTTTTAGGTTATGGTCCCAATGACCTAAGGACTCTCTCTAGGTCCCACATCACAAAGGTTCTACCACCTTTCAGTAACACCACCCTGGGGACCAAGCCTTCAATCATGGACCTTTGGGGGACACCCCAACCAAAATCCAAACCATAGAGGGTGTCAAATTATTTTTCAACAGAAGACTTTCAGATTTTCCAGGTGAGATACACATTGACACTGCTATCTGGATCACATAAAAGCTAGAACCTGACTCTTAATCACCAGCGGTAGCAGTGTGAGTGGCCAGCATGGCTGCCATTGAGGTTTCAGAAAGTGGGGCATAGTGACTGCCTAGACCCAGGGATAGACATCTTAAGTACTTTAGGAAAGAGAAAGGCTAAAAGGGACCGGAGCAGGATCCCTATTGATTCTGGGTCACCTGATGGAATCAAAGTCTGTTTTCTCACTTTCTCACTCGAAGCTTGAGCTTTGAAAGCACAAATGACCATTTAGCAGTTATTATACTTTTTTTGTTCTCAATAGAGCAGCTCAGTTACTTATGTGTGGGGTTAGAAGCCTCTCCAATATCCCAAGCTGTCCTCAGTGTAGAGGAGAACTTTCCCTCCTGATTACCCTGATGACTGACTTCCTTGACCAGTTTCCAGCCCCTGCGGTTCACAGCACACCCTTTTCCACATGTTACAGGACTACAAAGCTTTGCCCAGCCCTTCAATAGTGTTTAGAACAAGGATGACAAATTACTAGCTGGGGGCGGCACTGATTATATTTTTATTGGCATTGCAGGGAGTGAGTACATGACACACAGGTTGTCCTTGTGTGTTGCCAAGAATTTTCTGCAGAATGTAAATGCACTGAGCAAAAGCCATATGAAATTATTTGCCATATGTATCTCAAATGTGAAGCAATGGCCTTGTCATTAGTCATGTTTTGGTTTGGGGCTCTAACTGAAATGTTAAAGAGATTGAAATTCTGCACATCATACTAAACATGGGGCTCAAAACACCCTTCTGCAGATGTAACCTAGTCTGCCACATTGCTTTGGCCCCATCTCTGATTCCAATGAATAAAGCTAAGTAAATATGACTTGGGGTGGGCCTGCGAATGTTGGAGGTTCCCTGTGGGTTTTGTAATGACGTTGACAATAGTACAAACTGAGCATCCCTATTCCAAAAATCCAAATTTGAAACTTTTTGAGTGGCAACATGATTTCACAAGTCTAGTGGTTCAGAGTACACAAACTTTGCATCATGTACAACATTATTAAAAATGTTGTATAAAATTACCTCCACATTGTGTTTATAAGACGTATAGGAAACATAGGTGAATTTTGTATTTGGACTTCAGTCCCGTTCTTCAAGGTACTTCAATGTGTATATGCAAAAATTCCAAAACAAAACAAAACTGAAATTCAAAGCACTGGTCCCATGCATTTCAGATTAGAGATACTAGATCTGTATAATGACTTCTTAGCTCATGTAGGCATGCTTTCTCTTTCCCTTTCTTCTGTGAACTCCTACTTTTAAGAAGGAATTCTTAGCTTCACTAAAATCTTCCATCTCTACTTAGAATTATTTTTCCTTGAAAAATTGAATCATCCATCAGTCCAACGAACAATTTGATGGCTAAATAACTAGGTCTTCACATGATAAGTTATCTGTAATAATAGCACATTTCTTAGATAAAGCTCAGAATGCTACAATTTTACATAAAAGTGTAAATTGCAGGATGAGAGGGGTCAAACTGAATCCGTATTATGCAGGTCTGTAGAGTGATATGGACTATGTCTGTCACTGTAACCAAAATTGATTTTTTGACCATTTATGAAACAACTAATTAAAGTAAATTTACTTTAACCAGTGAGATTCAAGGTGAAGTGATAGTAATCATGATCCACAAAATGTCCATACACCAACAATTATTAGTGATGATAAAAGTGTCAGAATCCAAATAAAGAAAATAAAACAAGTGCTTTGATCTGAACCTTAAATAATGTAGACATCATACATAAATGAGGCACCATTTGGGCATGTGTTGTCCGGTGTTTGCCCTTTTGGGCAGCTGGATCTGATGTGGACTAAGTCTCATGTCACTTGGCTTCCCTCATACTCTTTCTGGTCTGAACCATAGGCGGTGTGTAGACTTTGTCTCACTTCCCACTATTCTTATGTATTTGATGGTTTCTTCTCTGAGTTTTTAAAAATGTCTTAGGAGGGACACAGTACTGCACAGTGTGATTCAGGAGAAATAACATTAGAGGCAGGAGAGCTGGGCTTGTGCCTAAGTGTGATCAGAACCTTAGTGTCCTTGTGTATGAAATGTCAGGCTTGGATTAAAATTCACTGCTCTTCACACTCATGATTTGTTCTGTTCTGTTCTGGTACCAGGAATTGAACTCAGGGATGCTTAACTACTGAGCCACATCCCCAGCCCTTTTCATTTTCTACCCTAAGAAAGGGTCTCACTAAGTTGCGTGGGGCCTCGTTAAGTTACTGAGCCTGGCTTTGAACTTGCAATCCTTCTGCTTTAGCCTCCAACTTACTGGGATGAGAGGCATTTACCGCCACTCCCTCACACTTGTTTTTTTTTTTTTTTTTTTAAATATTTTTTTAGTTGTAGATGGGCACAATGCCTTTATTTATTTGGTTATTTTTTTATGTGGTACTTAGGCTAGAACCCAGTGCCTCACACAAATGAGGCAAGCGCTCTACCACTGAGGCACAACCCCAGCCCCTCACACTTGGTTTTTATGCAGAACTTTCTTCAAAAGAAATCTTTCCTGGAATCCCAATATATAAAACAGCTAAAAATAAAATTATCCTGAAGTAAAGAAATAACATCTGGAGTCCCTTACTTGGGTCTTGCCCTATATTTAAGATGGTTGGTAAAGTCCTTTCTACTTCAGAAATTCTGATTCATACTAATTTAAAGTTATATTAGGGCCAAGTAAACCAGTTCATGTGGAAAGGGACATGGTCTGAGTGATTCCGGCAAACTCAAAGTGACACATTCAATGCCCTGTTTCCCTGGGCTGGGAAGACGTACTCCAGGTCTGTCTCCACACACACGGCTTTGTGGACAGGTAGAGGGCAGTCAAAGTGATGGTCGAGAATGTGAAATTTGATGTGACAGAGACCTTGCCTAAGATCTGGGACCTTAAGTACAGTGTTAGGCAAGTTATTTAACCTCCGTAATTAATAATATTCAGCTTTCTCGTCCATAAAATGGGATTGACAATAGCACCTACTGTCTGTCTGTAGTTTCCTGGCATGCGGCTATGCTCAAAGGGTGACAGTTTATTTAAACACAGATGTTTATTGAGTGAGGAAACAAATATTGAATATAGAACTGGCTTTCCATTTCTGGCACGTAATATCTTTGTTTCATTAATTCTAAGTATTGAAATTCAGGTTTGTTTCATAGCAGATTATTTGCTAGTGCAAATAAGCAAATTCTGATCATGATACTAGCTACATGACTTTTAAAGGAACAGGAAAAATTGGGATGCTAACATATTACAAACAACTTTGACTTAGAGACGATCTATGAGGATCTTCAACTTCATTTTGTGCATGAACATGAAATAAGTGCACTTCAGATTCAGAGGGAAATGCATCCCCAGATTTTCTGATTCTGTAAGTCTGAGCTGGGTCCTGGAACTTTCCATTTCTAAGAACCTGATGCAGGTTGTGTGAGGAATACACTTGGTGCAGCACAGATGTTTGTTGAGTGAGGAAACGAATATTGAATATAGAACTGGCTTTCCATTTCTGGCACGTAATATCTTTGAGATAACAATAGTTAATTTAACTCATTTAACTCTTTGCTTGCAGAACAGAAGCAAAATACAGAAATAGTGATAAGAGACTTGTACTTAAATAATACATGTAGGACATACACCAGCTATAAATTTGTTCAGCAATCATTATAAAAATTTGTGATTCTTTCTAGCTATTTGGTTTTTTACAGATCTCCTTATATACGACTTTCTTATAATTTTTGTAAGCTCTTTCTTTCTCTTTCTCTCCTGCCTGCCTTCCTTCTGTCTCTCTAATCTTATTTCTAATATGAATATATATGCTTTTAGTGTTCAAAACAGAAGCGAACTCTTGGTATAGCTTTGGTTGTGTGAAGTTTGTTTATAACCTATTCCCACACTGTGAGTTTTTGTACTGAATCGTGTTTTCTTGCTTTTGTTCTAGTATGGAAGAGAAGAGAGCGACTGGACAATCGTATTATCCTGAATGAAAAATGCCGAAAATCTACTGTATGCTTTTGGAATAGACTGCTGCATTTGAATTGTGATAGATCTTTTTGCCTACCTGTTAGTAGTTGTGCATAATGTAGTTTGCATTATTAGTGTGTTACAAGAATGACTTTTTTCCCCCCTTGTGCCAGAGAACATGAATCATAATTGTCAAATGGTGTTTTGTAGGCTTGGTAGTAGTAGCTTACCTTCCTACCTTTTCCCAGAAAGATAATAATGTAAGCCATATAACAGAATTTTCCTTAATAATTTGAGTGCTTCCCTTAGTAGTTCACTCAGATCCAAAAATGTTTATTATTTAGTATAAGGTATGGCTCCTCAACCAAATGAGATGTGTGTGTGTGTGTCTGAAAGCTAATTTGAATACTTCATAGGTAATGTTTCTGGTGACACATCATTAGCCTCAGAAGCACTCAGAAAGTGCTTTATTTTAAAATGAAGATTCTAAAGAAAAACTGGATTTCCTTCCATCATTGTGTTTTTCAGGCCCTTAAGTCCACCTTAAGGTAAATACCTCCCTTCTTCAGGTATCTCAGTCTGCTGTGAGCTCACCTGTGCATCCGTAAAACCTGGGCACGTTGCTGCCACTGCCTTTCCACATGGCTTTGTAACTGGCTGCCCATGGGCTCCTACCAGACTGACGGCCTAATGCCTTATAGATCTTTGTATCCCCAATGCCTGGCACGTGGTAGGTACTCAGTAAATGTTTGATGCGAATGAACAAACGAACAAATGAACATATAGCTTCTATAGAAGTATACCTTCTCTGTTTCTGTATTTTGAAACCTGTATTAGAATTTGTGAACAATTCTGATGGTGTGTAATGTTTACCTCATGTTGTCTTTATTTTCCATGGACTCCAAAGTCATTAGAGATACTGAGAGGCATAGTTGCAGGCATCGGTTCATGTTTGCAGGGTATCTTGGAGTGGAAGCAATAACTCTAGAGAATTCATGATATCATAGCAACCAAATGAAAATGACAGATGTTACATGTTAAGTGTTAAATGCAAAAGAAATCAGAGGTGAAGGGGAGGGGAGGAAAGAAGAGGAATCCTCAAGTTTTTTCACTCTTTGTGCAGGTACTCTTTTCTGTTGACTGGGGATTGAGGGAGCATGTGGTTAGGATACAGGGAGAGCAATTACTGATGATATTTTCCTTGTTTGGGAGCTGTGAATTTAAAATTGTATCCTTTCCTGCTTTATCTATGGGAAAGTCAAATCTTGACAGAAAACATTTACCCTTGGTAGGTCAACTCTCAGACATTGTAGTTTGCTTTCCCTCAGTCCTAATAACTTTCATCTTGCTGATCATATTTCATTCTCTTTTCGGAGCAAAGGAAAAACATTCTAAAAGTTTGATGCATTGAAAACATTTCCTCGAGGCATTTAACAACACACAGCAAACGGGCTTTGATTCTTTTCCAAAACTTTTAGCTGTAGGGTCTCTTTTAGAGAGGACTGGTAAAATGAAAATTAGAGAAGGCTAAGATGAAAAGGAATAGTAAAAATATCTTTTAGGGGCTTTTAATTGGTGATCTGCAGTCTGGGGCCAGTCCGTTCTCTGCAGCCTAAGGTACTCTTGACTCCCCTGCACATGCTCAGTGAGGGTATGCCTTTGCCTTTGCTGAGTCCCTTGACCTCCTTCTTAATATAGCAGTCCAGAAAAGAGTTTCAGGTAATTTTAACTGTCAAGTAGCACATAATAACTAGACTCTAGCTCCCTTGAGAAAGGGAAATTACTTGTTTGCCATAAGTACATTTTATACTTTGCATTTCTAAATTTAGTTAGCCCATTGTGAAAGCTAGAGAACACTATGTTTATATGATTTCTCTCATAAAAACATAAGAGCACGTTAAGCCCTTCCCACCAGACTCGGAGAAGACTAAGGATATGTATTTTTAAAAACTAGAGACCTCCATTCTCTTAAGTAAAAAAGACAGGAAATTGACCTTGACACTCACTTGTTAAATAGATTTAAAAGGAACATCTGCACTTCTTTTTTTCTTGTGCACTATTTGTTTAATTGCAGTGGAGTAATACAGCAAGTGTCACATTATAACTAGGCAATTATCCATTCTTCAAGACTTAGTTATCTTAACACTAATTGATCATTTAAGGCATAAGATAGTCTAACATTAGGAACATGTGAGGCTAATCTGCTCAAAAAAGATCAACAAATTAATATTGTTGCTGATATTTGCATAATTGGCTGCAATTATTTAATGTTTAATTGGGTTGATCAAATGAGATTCAGCAATTCACATGTGAATGAATATAAACAGAACTAGTGGCACTTAAAATGATAATGATTAACTTATTTTGCATGTTCTCTTCCTCCCACTTTTTCCAGTTTTTACAATATCAGACCGAGTTTGTCAGCTTTGCCCGAAACACATCAGTAAAAATCAAGATCTTAAAATGCAGTATTCTGACATAGACAAGACCTGAGCATTTCCCAAAGAGATTTGCTATTAGAAAATTTTGGTTATTATTGTTATAGTCACTAATCAAGTATTCAATTCATGACACACCGAAAGAAGGGTCTGGGTTATGTACCACACCCTCTATTATAGCTGGCAGGTGAATGCATCGATATAATACCTGTTTTAGCCTTTGCTCTCAAAAGCACAAAGGAAAAGGGATAAGAAGGAAATGACTAATAACCCTTGTTAGGGAATCATGTTCTTTCTACTGATAAACACTTCCAACTCTTCCCCTCCCCAAAAAAGACTGCTATTAAAAAAAACAACACACAAACTATGTGGTGGAATGTGACGTCAGCTTTCCTGAAGATGAGGGGAGCATCCATTACGCATCCTGGATTAAAGTTTCTCTCACCAAATGAGTTTTATTGCTTGAACAAATTGTACCTAAACAGGTAGTCTTACTTGCCCCAAGTCTGAACACTCTTGGCCCTTTGGAGGCAATGAAAGTATTACTTTGTCAAAAACACTATAGGAACTTTTTATTAAGTCTGTGTTAGGGGGATGGTGCTGTTGAAAGCATCCATCATGATAACCATATTTCTTTCCCTGTCCTACTTAATGTCCGATCATGGTATTCTGTTTCCCCTTTTTAAACCTGTTAGTTTTGCCTTTCCAAAACTGTTTGCCTTACCCTCATAATTGGGAAAACAGAAGACAAGCAGACGAGCAAAAGACTTACTGTTCACTTTGCATGAGTTGTATTTTTTGAAATATTTAAAGTAATATCAGATGTACCAAGGCAAAGGACTTAGGGGTTTGAGAAACTCCTTATTTCATGTCCTGATTCTAAATACAACCAAAGAACCCTTCCTTTCAATATGGATTTCTTCCTACATGGATATGGAAAACCTTAGCAAGGGGTACAACTTTTCAATAAATATTACTTGACAGACAAGATCGTGGGGATTACACATCAGGTGATAAGTGTTGATGGAGCACCCACAAATGTGCATCTCACACAGCAGCAATAGATAGGAAGTTAGTTTTAGAAAATAAATAGCATTACCTCTTGGAGTTTATAGTCTGTTACTTGAACTAATTTAAGATATAAAAGCAGAATTTAGTAGCTAGATTATAAAGAGAGGAAGACCAGAGCATATCTCTCTTCTCAAGAAACCGCAATAAGCATTTCATCTCACTTTTTGAGGAAAATGTTCTGTTTTCATTCCTTTCCTTTAGTGGAGTACTGCTTAGAAAGGTTAGTACTTAGGGTTATTTGCCCCCTGGGTGTGTGGGGTAGTGACTTTCTGGCTTGCTAGTTACCATCAACCTGGTACACTGTGTCTGCATTCCTTTGGAGCAGTGTTGAGTTGTTAAGCTACATCTAACAGAGCACAGCCTACTTCAGTCAGCATCTTAAAGTCAAAGCCAGATTACACTGAAATAAAGAAAATGATCCTGGGAGTCAATCTTTCAAGCTGTTTAAACCATTAGCTAAAAGGTGATAGATCCAGCTACTCAGAAAATAACTTTCACATAACCATGATTTTTCACAGTTTGAGATTTTGAATAAGAAAGGCCACTTAAGGTACTGCAAAGAGATTAATTTTTTATCATTGCTGGAAAGCCCCTTTAAAATGTGAAACCAGAAAAAGTAATTTATTTTTTCCATCTTCAACATACATACCATAATAAAAGATCTCTCAGATATTTAAAATCTACTAGACGCAAGTGTTAAAGTTTTAAGTCATCTGTCCATGATGGACCCAATGAACATGACCTAAAACCCAAGTTGCATTGTAATCAGTGTATGTAACCCACTGTCAGAATGGTGAGAATTCATGGAAGCTATGATACAGGAGTGGATTAAAATACAGTTTCATTGGATTTCTCTAGACACCCAATATCAATTGCTGGGTTCCTTGTTGTCCATTATTGAATTATGGGAAAAAATTAGTGAGAGACGTCAGATGAAAAATAAGAGAAAGTAGAAATTAAAATTTGCTTCTGGGTTGGCCTTCTTCCAGGTGTTGGGCTCTTTAGCCTTCAATGTAGGTGCCAAACACAAGCCATGCCATTAAGAAGTGACTATAGTAGCCAATCCATCAGATGCTAGTACTAGGCCATGACCTCAAGCTTGTAATCCGAGGGTGTTGTTATGTAGGAACCATTTTAGGTTACTACCAATTTGGATGAGACTTTTTAATAATTGCAGAGTCTATAAGATCTATTTCTTCAACCAGTTTTTTCTGACTCATGGAACTTCTTGAAGCCCAATAATATGTGACAAGGGGTAGATTGTGGCCATTTTTCCCCCTTAGAAATACTATTTACCACCTTTCTTTGGTGAAGATTAACTAATTTGGAAATTGGCTATTATATGTTGTTTTAATGAAAATTTGCAACATGAATTAATTTCCCGAGGCCAGTTGGACGTGGACATTGGAGTCGTTCCTAGGCTCAAACAAAGGAATACAAATATCCTCAGTTTCTACATTACTGATAAGTTTTAAAAGAGTATAGGAGTTATGTCAAGAGTATGGCTACAATTAGATTTTAAGTATGTCTTAAAAATAAGCTAGCCAACCCCTGCTGCATATGCAAATTCTGCAGATGTTTCTCTGGTCACTTAGAACAAGGATGGTCCTACAGGATCCTCAGCCAGCTGATACATGAAGCTGGAGCCAGACCTACACTCTCAAAGAACTTGTGCCTGCTTGATATGGCAGCCAAGGGCAAATAAGTAGTTTGAGGCAGTTTTTAAATCAGAGCTTAAGGATAGGAACAGCATCTAAGGTTAACCAGGGAATTTGTAGAACCTATTCTCTTGTATCAGAATCTGATTGCAGTTACTGTTGGCATGATGAACCCTAGCCTCAATTTCTCGTCTGTAGTCATTTTTTTGAAGTTCTCTTTAAGAAGTAAGTAAGTAGGAGGAAATAAACATTGTAAATGAGGATTGGCTTTCATGAAAAATTGTTTAAGGTTATGGTGAAAGGATTTCGGCTGACTACAGTGTAATAATGGGAATGTGGAAAATACAGTGGGTAAAGGAAACTACCTCATTCTCTGAAGGTTTTGTGGAAGCACAATTAAACATTCTAAAATGGCTTTGTTGCACAAAAGCCATCTGGTGTGAAGAACTCTATATTTGTATGTCTAAAGGACCTGGAATAATTGTATTTTGTTGGCAACAGAGACATTCTTTATTGTTTGCAGTTTCCTCATCAAATCAGCAATTATGCACAGTTTCTGTCATCAATAAAACAACTTAAAGGAATCCTGGTTGTGTAGTGTTGTGAAATTGGCATTGTTGGGTGCATGAAATAATAATGCTTAATTACCATTTTTATGATGTCCCAAGGTTTTTGGTCAGGGGATGTGAATGTAGTGTGGTATTTTTAAACGAAAACGACATTGAGAAAGTGAAAAGGGTTGAATATCACAGAAAGACCTGAAATCATGTAATTGGGGAGAGTCTAAATATGTCTCATCTTCAGACATATGAGTGAGAAACACTGTGGGCATTTAAAATTATCCTTTTTCTCTGGTTATGAATTTATCCTCAATAAAATTTAGCTTTTTATTTTGTAAAACAATGATAGATTACCTCTTCCCATTGCTCATAATGTACATATCTCACTGACAAAGCCATACACCAATATGTGTTTAACTAGCTTTAGAATGAAAGAAACTTGTAAAACAAAAACTATTTGGTCAAAACCTAAAGAACATCAGTGATGGGTGTTTTTTTTTAGCCAAACCAGGCCTCATATAAATTGTCCTCAGGAGTGCCTGTCTTTGAGAGAATAAAGTGAAGAGCACATATTAAATCTGATGATCACTTCTTTCATATTCATTTTCTTGTCATTTGTCCAAAGGATTACAAGTGCATTGAAGCTGAAGGCTTTCTAAGGAGTTACTTGCTGTAAACTGAACTTAAAAGTGTCATAGTGCTCAGTGACCCTCTTAACCAGACCCTGTCGACCTGTGAAAATACTGTCCTTTATCAAGATCTCTATCAAGAAGTTGCATGCAGAGTTTGGAAGGTCCAGGCGAAGGTTATTAGTCAAGTCCTCTGACAGTGTCAATGCTCAACTCCCACAAGAGTGACAGAGAGAGTCCTGACATTCCTGGGGGTGATGACATATATTTGTTGGAGCTTATATGATTTATCAGAGGAGACAGCAGTCTCCTTCAGGGTAGAAAGTGTCTCTTCTACATTGATTTAATAAGAAGCAAAGAGAAAAAGTGGGGAGGCTATCCAACTTTTATAATCATGTTTTTGCTGTGCTGACTCAATGCGATCTTAAGCATATTTTTCAAATCAAGAGTCTTACTGCACATACTTGATGTGACCTATTGCCTTAGATCAAGGAATGAGCTATTGTAACTTGACTTTATTTATAATGGTGAGAACTTGCAGATTGGCACTCTTGGAACCAAGATAGCCAGAGCTAGGTGTAGATGCTTCTTATACCTACAGAATAATCGGTGGGTGGGCACTATATCTGTGTCTATACAACAGGGACAGTGTTGCTTGAAACCCATGGTCATTCTCTCCAAAGGTGGTCATTACTAAGTAGAGAGGGATTTTGAAAAATGTGATGGGAAATGTTAGAGTTGAAAGATCTATGCTGACTGTGTCCCAAACACATCATACCAAATTTTTTAAATATTTATTTTTTAGTTGTAGTTGGACACAATACCTTTATTTCACTTATTTATTTTTATATGGTGATGAGGATTGAACCCAGGGTCTCGCACGTGTGAGGCAAGCGTTCTACCGCTGAGCCACAACCCGAGCCCCATACCAATTTTTAAAGCTTGAGATTAAATTGCATTTGTTTTATCGATATCTACATAACCTAATAAATGTTTCTTCTTAAAGATTCATTCATGATTATGATAAACAGAGGTGGCTCATACTTTGATCTCTGGCTTCTTCTGAGTCATGGTGAGATAACAAAACATCTTTCTTACCATGTAGATAGCATAAGAAGAGAATAGTTAAGAGCCATCATCTGCCCCTATCATCATGAACAAATTGGGGAGAAAGGGGAGACTGCAATAATACCAATCTTAGTTGTTAATTTTTCTGTTCTACATGAATGTAGCTGCGATGGCTAGTTTTATGTGTCAACTTGACTGGGCTATAATGCCCAGTTGTTTGGCCAAACACCATCCTAGTTGTTTCTGTGAAGAAATCTTTTGAGTTGTGATTAATATTTAAATCAGTAGACTTTGAGAAAAGCAGGTCACCCTCCAAAAAGTAGATGGGCTTCATCCAGTCAAAGGCTTTAAAAGCCTTTTAAAAGATGGGTTTCCTAAAGGAGAATTTGGCCTTAAGGAATGTAAAAATCCTGCCTGAAATTCCCAGCCTTCCTGGCCTGCCCTGCAGATTTGAGACTCAAGACTACAACATCAACTCTTACCTGAATTTCTAACCTGCCAGTTTTCCCTACAGATTTTGGACTTGCCAGCCCCCACATTCACATGAGGCAACTGCATTCCTTAAATCTTAATAGATTGATAGATAATATTATAAACAGACATGATATATTTCCTATGTGTTCAATTTCTCTATAGAACCCTAATGCAACCATAGATCACTTTCTTACTTAGGGGATGGAAATTTTCTCCCGAGGAGGAATTAGGTAAAGTATTATTCCCTCTTGACTCAGGTATCTAAGGCAAGGCATGCCTAGCAGTTCAGAAAAGTGTTCACCTCATAGGGCACCTGTAATATTTTACTGTGATTGTAAGCATAGTACCTATCCGAGAATAATTCTAAAATTGGTAAGTTGCACAGCCCAAACCAACTTACTAAAGGTAAACACCACGAATCAAATTTCAGATTTCAATGAAGGAAATATTTCTGAGTGTTGGTTAATTTAATCTCATTAAATGCCCCTGAGATTATGTTTAGGCCTAATTGATGCCTTCAAAATGCAATGTACCCAAAAAACATAGATGGAAAGAATTTGATGGAACTGAGGAATGGGATGATTTTATCAGGCAAGCAACCATCCTAACAATAAAAAGTCATAGTTTTACCAAATACATGATTACAGAGATCATCAGAGTCTTCTGGACCCTGCTGACTTCACCCAGTGAGTCAACCAGGTTCAACCCCATTCATACTTACTGGGGCCTCCCCTACCATGCTCAATTTAGGACACACATTGGTAGTCATTTGGATTTTTATTTCCCTATGGTGCGTATATATTAAAGTTATATTTTGCAAAACCGTTTGATGAATTGAATAAAAGTCTACTTCTGCAATGAAATTTGACAGGGCAATTTAAAGGACAATAAAAAGCCAAATGAGGTTAAGTAATGAGGACAGGATCTTGCACAACAGCTCCTCACCAGTTTTGTTGTCCTCAAGGAAAAAGAAAGTGATTGCAAATTTTCTATGAGGAAAAGGAGTAGGATTTTTCTTGGGCTTCCTTTGGTCATAACCATGAGGTTAATGTTTGCATTTTCTGCAAATGCATTCTGCAAGACTTTTCCCCACTAAGGGAAACTTTTCAAATAGAAATAATCCTCCTGATACTATTTCAATAATTGCTCTTCTTGCTAATCACTGACTGGAATGGCTATTATCCATACAGTCAAGTGCACAGTTTTGATTTTATCCTTTCATTCACATTCATTTCATTTCTTCATGGTTTTCTAAGGTGACTATCTACAATTAAGAGAATTTGTAATTATGTATGTCAATGTTTGCCTCTCCCACTAGACTAGTAATTCTTCAAAGAATTACATTTAACTCATTTTCCTGTTTTCTCAGAACAAAATTCCTTAATCATATATAAGGAATATATATCTTATATGTCTTAATCCCCCTGCACAATGTCTAGCTATTATATAATAGGCACAAAATGTTTGGCAGCTCCATGCTTTCTGTAAGTGTCACTTGCCTCCAAGTATCGAAGACTTCTCATTTGCAGGCTTAATCTCATGAAAATCGTGAGTTAATTGGAGACAGGTCTGATCAAGAATGAACAGCTGAGGTTCAGGGGCATGAAATGAGCTTTGCTACTGTAACCCTACCACCATCTGGTGTTGCCTGGATGTTCCCCTGGCTCTCTGAGCTAGGGCTTTCTCCCTAACCCTCAACAAATGTCTGTCCATCCTTATTGACTAGATCTCTGCACTGGTATAGTTCTTCTGGGTAAAAGAAACCATGCTTATAGCCTCAGCCTGTTTGGCCAGGGCCTAACCACCTTCTCAAGCCTGGACTTTTTATATTGCCATCCAGATATAGATGGGTCCAGTTTCAATCTAGATTCACACCTTGGGAACAAATTTCAATACCTCTTGCTTGATAATGATTACAGCTGGACCCCATCAACCAGTCTGTAACCTAGGTCCTGAATATGGCCTTGATTAGAACTGAATTTGCCATATTACAATGAGCATGGTGACTTGGGTTGATTCCTGCCTCCTATGGGTTTGCCTGGCTCTGGTCTACACTGGTTTGTCTGCCAGCTTGCTCTTGAGGTCTCGGCTGGCAAGAGCTCCCTTTTGGCCCAAAGAGAAATAACCAGTTAGCTTTGAAAATCATCCTAGCTTCCTGTTGTGTGGGTTTAATTTAATTTAATTTAATTTTTTAGAGAGTATCTTTAAAAGTCTAAAATTGCACCTACTGGATTCATTTTGAAATAATCTACAAGCTTGCTACTCAAAAGTATCATTACCAGACCAGCAGCATCAGAAAATCCTGGGTGCTTTTTGGAAATTAATGCAGCATCTTAGGCCCTTTCAGACCTACTAAATCAGAATCTGCATTTTTAACAAAATGATTCATTTGCACATTTAAATGTACAAGCACTGATCTGAAAACTCAGCATCACATCAAATGAAGAGACTCCTCAGAAACCATTGCAAAGTTAGAGACAAGATTCATTTGCAAAACAAATAATTTGTAAATAAAGTAAATTGTTCTGAAATTAAAGTGACCTTTCATTTCTATACTCAAGGTCCTGAGTTTGTTCAAAACCTGACCTATGCCAGTTGGATTATGAAATGTTACTCCCAAATTGCTAATTCCTTCTGAGATTTTTGTTCCTGGCACTTTGCTTCTGTCTCAGTCTCATGTGAGAAAGTTATCACGGTGGTCTATGAAAATTACCACACAGGAAATAACAGAGGACTCCTAATTAGTGAATTCCTCCACACTATTTATTCTCTGTATTTGGAGCCATTATAGAGCCTCTGGGCATATCTACACAATTATAAAGATCAACAACATTCCTAGCCAAGTTGCAGCTG